CTTATTTTTTTTGCCTACGACAGCCTGGTCCATGATCCTCCTATTTCATGCTTCTCACAGTTGCTGGGTTAACAGGTACACACCATCACACCCAGCTTGTTTCCACTGAGATGGGGTCTTGCAAGCTTTTTTTCACTGAGCTGTCCTGGAACTGCAATCCTCCTGATCTCAGCCTCCCAAGAAGTTAGGATTACAGGTGTGAATCATCAGTACCTGACTTCTCGTCATTCTTTTTTATTTTTTAGCCTCTATGTATGTTGAAATGTATATTTTTCAGGGATTCTTTTATCTGTTTGATCCATTCTGATAATGATACCATTTACAGATTTGCTTATTTTCCAGCTTGAAGATTGCTAGATGTTTTTTGTTTCATTGTTTTGTGTTTTGCTTCCATCCCTCCACTAAGTTTCTCTCTTAGAGTATTGATTCTCTGTGTTCTCTGGAAGGGTATTTAGTTTCCATAAAATGGCTGTTTTAAATTCTCCATCCAATCATTCCGCTATACTGGTTCTTAGAAGGTCAGTTTCTGGTGCCTTACTTTGACCATTAGGTGAGCTCATGCCTCCCTGAAAGTTCTTGATGTTTATTGGTGTGTGACATCAATCGGACATTAAAGGCTTAATTCATTCTAGTCTCTGTAATCTGGCTTTGTTTGAGTTTATTTTTCCGGAAATTCCAAGCAGATGACTCAGAGCCTGCAGACATTTCCACTACTTTGCCTCTAGGTGTTGACCTAAGTCCAGGTTTGCCATGAGGCCACTGTTGGTGTGTTGTTGCTGTTTGACCATTAAAGGGTAATTGAAGCCTACGTTTCTCCCAAAGCTGCACTTTGTGTGTTGTTGAACATGAACTAGGGTTAGTCCATCCCCAGAACCCTCTCCCTGGGGCCAGGGAACACTCAAACATGACATTCACAGTCATCAGCCAATGGTCAGGCACTATAAGATTCTGCTCAGCTGTGGAGGAACTAGCCTTAGCCTCCTGTGTCACACCTGTGGCCACCAATGCCAAAATACTGTGTCACACACTGAGCCCACAGCCCACTGAGACCAGCACAACACTGGTGTAGGACCAAGGCTGGCAATGCTGTGGGTTGCTTACAGCTGAGGCGGACTCATGGCTCAAGATCACTACAACCAGGCACAGGTGATGCTGGCCACAATACAAGTCCAATAGGCTGGGGCCATGTGACCCTGCCTGACACCAAGGTTGTACCAGAAGCTCCACTGTGGGCACTGGCTGGGGGTGGGGCTGCTAGGACCTGTCCTGTGTTCAGTTTCTCCAGCCTAGCACTGAGCTCCAAGGCAAAGTCATATCCTACCCCCAGAGAACAGAAACTTGCTCTGCACCATGCAGTACTTAGGGAAGGCAATCCCTTAGCTTACAAATTTGACAATAAGCTGATCATACCAGAGCTTCACAGTATCGGAGACCACCCTAGTCCTAGGGAGAGGGTTCCCTAGACCCACTTTAAGACTGGTGATGATGCAGACCAAAACTGCCTATCCCATCAGTGTGAAGATCTCCACCTGGTGCCAGGCAGGTCCAGAGACTGTCTGAGTACTCTGTCCTGGGTATGACGGCTTACAGCTTTCATGCAGTTCTTATCACAGCAGGTCCAGCACTGAGCTCCAAGGCAAAGCCCTGTGCAAATAAATATGCCCTCCTCCCCAGGAGAGGAGCACTGCTCCTCTCTCTGCTTCCTCCAGCTGGAGCAGATAGTGAAGGCAGACTCTTGGCCAGGGGCTCAGTCTGCAGATAATGACCTTGGGGCAGGACTTGTGAAGCTCTGCCCAGGACTGGGTGTTACTGTAGCAGGTCTGGTATTTGGTTTCAAGACTCTAAGGCCTGGATTTAATTCCTTCTCTCTCCCCTAAGCCAGAGGCACCTCTACCATGCGGCTTGGAGTTGGGGAAGGGATGACCTGGGCCACCCTCTGCTTCCTGCATTCTTCCATCTGCCTTTTCTTGCTATTGAACTAAGTGCAGCCACTCTGGCCTCTCACTTGGATTTTTTTTTTTTTTTTTGAGACCAGTCCTCACTGTGTAGCTCAAGCTGGCCTCCAACTCTCAATCCTCCTGCCTCTGACACCCAAATGCTGGGATTACAGACGTGTACCATCATACCCATCTCACCTGGTTTTCTTAGCTCTTGTGAATGGTTTGGCATGTTAATAGCTACTCAAATTGGTGTGTCTTGGGAGACAGTTACAGGAGATTCATATCAAGTTGCCACCTTGCTTCATCTTTCTCTATTTTTAATTTTTTGAGGAACTTTCATACTGATTTCTTCAGTGGCTGTTCCATTCTACAACCCCCAGAACAGTGAACACAGGTAAGAGTTTCTGTAAATCCTCACCAGTCTTACCTTTTCCTGATTTTTCCTAATAGTCATCTACTGTGTGTGAGGTGAACCTCATCACAGTTTTGATTTTCTTTCTTTAATTAGTGATATCGAGCAATTTTTCAAATGTTGTTGGTATTTCTACCAACAATATTTCTTTGGAAATATGTCTTTTCAAGTCCTTTGAGGTTTTTTGTTTGTTTGTTTTGGTGGTGATTTGAATTCAGGACTTTGTGCTTTCTACACAGGTGCTCTACCACTTGAGCCATACCCCCATCCCTTCTTATTCTGGTTATTTTTGAGACAGGATCTCATCTTTTGCCCAGGCCAGCCTAGACCATGGTCCCATGTCACGCTTCTCACCATCACTGGGATGACAAGAATGTACATCATGACCATTCAGTGGTTGAGATGGAGTTGTCACCAACATTTTCCCCGAGCTGGCTCGAACTGTGATCCTCGTGACTCAGCCTCCCAAATAGCTAGGAGTAAAGGTATAAGCCACCAGCATCCAGCTCCGGTGAATGGGAGTTTTGGTTTTTCTGGTTGTTGCCACCACCTGTGTTCATAAATAAAGTTCTGATGGAATAAGCTGCACCCACTCATCATGCATGGTCTATGACTACATGACTAGGTCAGAGTGAGTAAATATGGCAGAGAATCTAGGGCGCTTAAGACTGAATAATTGGCCCATTAGGGAAAATTTTTGCTGACCACTGTTCTAGAGTCACATCTTTTTTTAAGCTACTATCTAGCTTAATATTTTTATTCTATGTACTTAGCCTTTTTTTTTTTTTTTTCTGAAATGGGGTTTGAACTTAAGGCCTCCGGCTTGCTAGGCAGGCACTTTACCACTTGAGCCTCACCCTTAGCCCTTTTCTGCTTTAATTATTTTTCAAGTAGTGTCTGATATTTCTGCCTGGGGCTGGCCTCAGAACTCGATCCTCCTACCTATGGTCTCCTACATAGCTGGGATAACAGGTGCATGCCACCACACCCACCTTATTGACTGAAACAGGATTTCTAACTTTTTGCCCAGGCTGGCCTCCAGATGCAACCCTCCCTATCTCTGCCTCAAGAGTAGCTGAGATTACAGACATGAGCCACTGTTCCCGGTGACTCTCTACTTGACTTTTATCGTAGTGTTACACCTAACTTCTAGTACTTTTTTCATTTTTATTTGTATGTCATTTGTCTGTAAGTTAAACAAATTTGGGCTCAATAAATTTTGATCTTATCAGTTTCAAAAACTTACCAGTTTTTTATTTTTATTAATCGTTCCTTTCACAGTGACCCCTAACATTTTGCATATGCTCCCTTGTTTTTCAACTGTAGGAGGCAGCAGCCGGCCTCAAACATGTGGCAAACACCCTACAGGACTCTGCTCAGATCTGCTCCCTGTTACGGTAGGTCTCAGGCAGACCAAGGCCAGCCCAGAGTCCAGCTTCTGTTCTCAAAAGCCTGCTCACGTCTGACCACACATCTCTGACTGGGGCCCTGCACACTGGATCTGCCCATCTCAGGTCACATCTCACTCTTCCTATGGCAAATCTTCAGTGCTGGGTGAGAGAAAGCACTTAGCTCAGCCTCCAATCCCTGTACCTGTAAAATCTTCTGCATCTCTTTCTCCTTTACCTACTTGACCTAAGATAGCTACTCCCAGATACCAGGCGTACTGACTCAACAGGGTAGGTGATGCTTCCCTGGAGATAATTTTTCCCAATTTCCATATTTCCTGAACATTGATGGTATGTCAGGCACAGTCACAAATCAGAGATAAAAGAAAGTCCAACAAGGCCTGGATTTCCCCTTCAATGAAGGAATGATAGGAGTCGGGTGAAAAACACACAAGGCCCCTTGCAAACAGAGGGGAATGTTTACAGAGAAATGTCTTGAGAACACCGAGAAGGGATACCATGATCAGGGAAGGCTTCCAGGAGAGGGGGACAGAATATGGTTGGCCTGCGTGCTGGTCAACCCAGCACCTCTCTGAAGCGTGACACACAGCTGCACCTGGCCAGTGGAGGCACAGCAAGCTGCAGAATGAATGCAGGAGCCTGGCACAGAAGGAGCGCCCTTCTGCAGGAATCCCAGGGTATAGACATGGAGAGGGAACAGCAATGACCTAGACACCTGCTTGACCACCAAGAGCCCCCCTGCCCAACATCCCCCTCACCCAACCCAGGCTATGGACAACAGAACAAACACTCCAACCTCAATGACACAGTCAGTCCAGAGGGCCAGAGGCAGTAAGACAAGACACAGAGCAAGTGTGGTTCAGGCTTTACTAGGGGTCAGACAGTGCTAGAGCGCCCCACACTGGGAACCAGGGCCTGCACACCACATAAAACTAGACTTTTAGGCATTGTGAGGAGCACAGGGTCAGTTGAGCTCCTCTGAGCAGAGCAATCTGTTTGGTTTCACAGCAGGGATGGATAAGGAGGGGTAAATGGGGTTTAGCAGAAGAACTGAGGAGCTGAGGTTTAGAGAGGCTTGGCTGGGGAAGGGCTTGGGTAAACAAAGGGAGACAATGGGAGCTTGCAAAGGAGAAAGGAGTGGAAAGAAGAAAGGAATAAGAAGACTGAGCTGGGGGCCCAGGACCCAGCGCCAGCAGATGCAGTCACAGATGGCTCTCCCAGTTCCAGCATTACCGGGTCCTACTTGTTGCCCCACATGGCTGTCTTTAAATATATTGGGCTTCGAAGGAAGCGGCTGGACTTCATGTAGGCAGAGATCTTCTTCAGGCCCTGAGAGTTGGAAGGAGAAAGCAGGAGCTCAGGGCTGCTGCCCAGTAGGCTTAGCTGCCCCGCCTGCCCCATGGGGTTCAAGTGCTGGGGCACAGTCCAGTCCACTTAGCTCCGCAGCTCTGGGAAGGGAGCAATTCAAGTTCTGCCTTAATAAGGATGACCACTGGGGAGAATGGACACCGTCCTGGGAACTTAATAGCCTCTAGACATTACAACATAGGTTTAGAAAATCCACTCAACAACCCTGCAAGATTCGTCCTGCCTTCACCAGGTCCCCAGTAGGGACCTGAGGTCCAGAGGTGAAGCAATGTCCTTCTGCCCACATAGCTAGTAAAAAGGTAAGAACTGGAGTCAGCCTGACTCTGTGTCTGCTATTCTGTGCTCTCTGTGTGTACCCTTTTTGCCTCCCCAGAGGAGGAGGAGGCCCTGTCACTCCCTGTCTGCACAGACTTGCTCATTTTTCATAGGGAAAAATCCCTGCTTGAGTTAACACACAGAAAAGTGAGTGAGTAGGACAAAGGAGCTGAGAATTTGTCAGTGCCTATGGGAAGAGAGCCCAAGAATTACCCTGTAGCTCAGCAAACCCTGGGTAAAAGTTAACAAGATGGAGGACTAACAAGGAAAGACAGGGCATGGTTCTAATCAAACCTCTGAGAGCACAGAATCCAAATTTCTCCACCTGGTACCTGAATCCAACCTCAGGTGCCCCACCAACCTCATCTCCAGCCCTGGTACAGGGACCAGGCCAAATGACATTCCATTGCAATGTGTGACGTCTTACCGAGATTCACTGCCCAGATAATTTTTAAAGGATTCAGAGATCCAGGGCTTCCTGTACCCAACAAGCAAGGCCCAGCAGGCCTCAGACTGGAGCTTTCAGCTCTCCCCTCCTTCCTCACCACAGTCAAGCCAGATCAATTCCCAAGGCAGCCCCACTTGGACCACGAACAGAGGTGATAAAAAAAAAAGAAAAAACTTGCTGAGAAAAAAACATGGCTTGATGGGGAATGGGAGACTGAAATAATTGTGGCACAAGTGCCTCCAACTCCCAAATTTCTACTGAAGTAGGTTTTGTGGGGGTCGAACAAGTAGACTCTGGATACTCCATGATTAGCTGTGAGGTGAGGTCCAGGCTGGGCTCCCCAACACCCAGGTGCTACAATGTGTACCTCACAGTCTGGTATTTCTGTTGCTCTTTGCTATACTTAGTCCCTGGATATAAGGGAGGGATATCTCTGCACGTCACACTAGGCCTGACACAGAGTCTCATACACCGAGGGTCAGCGAATGGGACTGAAAATAAGTGTATGCATTCATCACACAGAAGGTATGTTGAGTATTAGCAGAAAGCAAGACAGGAACAGAGGGAGAAAAATCCCTTATGATACAACAATTGAAGATAAAATCCTCCAACAGGGCCCCACAGGTCCACTCAGTCCAGCACCAACCACAGCCCTGGCTCTCAGTGCATCCCCAGCTAGATTCCTGATGGAATGAAACCCCTCTCAGATCAGATATGGACACTGTCTGGTTTGGTGTTTCAGATGAATCTATCTTATCTCACCTCCTAATGCCAGCTGCGTACACTCTTGACATGTTCTTCTCCCCAGGGTCCTGGGCAGGAAACCCAGGCTGTACACAGCCCTGGACCTTTTCTTTTTGGCACAAAACAGGGATTAGCCCTTAGAATCCAGAAGCCTGGAGCAAGCCCTGCACCACCTGCACTGGCACTGGGACCTTGAACAGCCAACTTACCAAGTCTCAAAGTCCTTATCTGTGCAATAGAATTGACTATTCCCGCTGTCTTGCAGAATGTTGTAATGGTAAAGTTGACTCAATAGATGAAAGTAGCCAGGAACAGGTCCTGGCAGGAAACCAGTGAGCAATAAATGCTAATTAATTTTTACCTCAGCTCCAGGACTAGGAAAGCACTGTGCAAAGGAGGAAGGGAAGAAGCGCATCCAAGAGGAGGGAGGAGTAAGGGCATCACCTCAAAGCGGGACAGAAAGTCCTTCAGGTTTGGGAACGCATCCAGGCACTTGGGCTCAAATATACGGTGCTGGTCAAGGACGTCATAAGCAATGAAATCCACAAAGGTGATCTGCAGAAAGCCAAGGATCAGTGACCTGGAAGCTCCAAACCTGGGAAGAATGCCACCTTCTCTTCCCCATCTCCCTCCCCTTTACCTTGTCCCCTGCAAACCATGGCCTCTTCCCCAGGAACTGTGAGTACAGCTTCATCTTCTCAGGGAGGCCCTCCAAGAACTCTGGCTTCAGTTTCTCCTGAGAAACAAGACAGTTGTCAGACACAAACCCCCAGCAGATAAGCTGATCACACCAGGGCTGTGCAGGCCCCAGTTGGCCAGGGGTGAGCAGCCATCTTCCAGAGACTGCACCTGGTCAGGGTCTATGCTTCAAGTTAATACTTCAGCCTTTATTAATATACTGTTGCATGTAAGTCCCAGTCTTTCAGAGGTGTTGGTAAGTCAGACAGGAAAACAATACTCTTCCTGAATTTGTCATCAGTGATGTCTAAAACCAGGTTCTGTGGGTCAGAGTCCAACTGCCTGAGTACCTGACAGGCTCTGAACTCAGAAAGTGCTAAAAGATCACAGAAGAACGATAAAGTAGCAGAAATACCCATGCATGTTTGAGTCCTTTCTGTAAAGTTGAGGAGTGTTTGACGTTGAAGGGAGAGAGAGAAAGGGACAGCCGTCCTCTACCTGATCTGAGATGACCCTGACCATTAGGAAAAGGTCCTTACTCTTACTGTTGTCAAGGGCACAGCTCAGAGGAAAGAGCTGGGCAGATGTCTGAAAACCAGAGTGCATTATATTGCTCATCTTGGTCTTTTTTTCTTCTGTATTCCAGAAGCAGACAGATGGTATGAAGAGCTGGAGAAGACCCATGACGGTGTTAAGGGTAGAAATGAAAGGGATTCTGAATACAAGCTCTAAAGTCTAGGAACTGAACGTCTACACTGCACAGCATAAACTCTACCCTGCTATTGGTGGCAATTGTCTCACAATGTTTATTTGACAAGATTTGGGAGTGTAGAGGGCCAGTCTGTTACTGTGATAAGTAATCTCAAGGAGAATCAGTACTGCTAGAGCTCAAATGTCAAACAGAACCAGTAGAGATGTGAACACAAAAGAGTTTAAGTCCCAGTCAAACTCTATCCCATGCTATGCATTGAAGAACTCACAAAGTCAGGGTTGTAGCAGAGCATGACAAGCTGTAGACGGGTGTCCATGACTTGGTTCTCCAAAATGTCCACACGGATCTTCTCCTCTTCTGTCTGCCCACCTGCAGCCACACAGCACACACCCCTCAGCACCCACCCCAGACAAGCCCAGGGGAGCCCACTGCCCCCGCACCCTGCAGCCAGCCCCACTCACACAGGTCATGCTTGCGGGCAATGTAGCGCAAGATGGCGTTGCTCTGTGTGATCTTGCGAGCCCCATCGATTAAGTAGGGCAGCTGCATGGACCACATGGAAGGTCAGGTGGGAGCCCAGGTCCCAGCAGCCCTTCCCTGCTTAGGACAGACATGGGACCTGCCACTCAGTGGGCCTGGCCATGGCGAGCACACATAAATACACTGCAGAATGAATGCAAGAGCTGGGACCCAGAGCATCAGAGGAACACGGTGTAGACCACAGGAGTGAGTGCTAGAACTCTCAGCTGGGCAGGAGGGGAGGGAAGGAGGGAGGGAGGCCCACACTTCCCCACGCCCCCTTCCCTGTACCTACATTGGGGAAGTCCAGGCCCAGTGTGAATTTCTCACTCAGCCACTGGCTTCTGTCATAGTCGGGAGCTGTGGTGGACAAGATGGAGTGAAAACAAAGATCCCCTGAGTCCAGCCCTCCTTCCCCAGGGTCCCTGATGTGTAAGGCAAGACCCCCTGAGTCGGTGCATCTGCAGTCTGGCCCACATTCCCAGGTTGCAGGGGTAAAGAATGCTTCTTAGGTCTGTGGCCCTACAGGACTGAGATCTGAAAGTTTAGGCCAGGCTTTAAGGAATTGTTACCCAACTTCAGACAGAGGGGGACCCAGCCCTCCACTCCCAGCGCCCTGCATTGAAGACAAAGCTGCACTCTACAGGGGTTTAGGAAGGAGTGGGCTGTGGGTCCAACTGGAGGAGGCCTGATGAGCTGGACAACAGGTGGCCAGACATGAGTGACTGGGCACCAATGGCAGCAGCTGAGCAGGGATCTGACCAGGAAGTGTCATTACCGTCCCCCATGCTGTACAACTTCTCTTCATAGCTTGAGTCTGTGTATTCCAAGAAGAGGCGGATGGCATGAGTCAGCTGTGAGGGATCAGAGATGGGAGACCCTGGCTATGTAACTTCACCTCCTCCAGGTAAGCCTCCCAAACTCAACCTAAAACAAACCACCTTTGTTTACACACACACACACACACACACACACACACACACACACACACATACACACAGGCTCACATGCAAGTGTGTGAGCACCTACATGCTGAGAGCTACAGGCAGAGAAATCCAGCAAGGCTTCAAGACGATTCATGTCTAGACCTCGCCCCCAGCTGCTCTGCACCCTCCCCCCTTCCTTGGGTCTCTGCCCACCCTGCAATTGGACCCTCACTCACCCCGCGGATGTCCCAGTAACCCAGCGTCATGGGCATGGTGATGGTGGTGGTGCTGTAGAGTGAACTTACTGGCAGCAGGACAGAGCTGTGACTTTATACAGGTGCACAGCTAGGGCGGGGGTGGAGTCTTGACGTTCCAACACTCCCCTCCCCTGCCCTACCCGCCCCTCCACCCACCCCTCCACCTAAGCCCTTTCCAAGTCTCTTCTGAGCCTGGAAACCAGAAGAGGGAGTCAGTGATCAGAAGCAGGGAAGAGTAAGACCCAAGGCAGCCTTAGCCAGGTTCCAGGAGCCAGCTCGGAGTGTCCAAGGAGCCAAAGGCAGGGCTCTGCTTGCTTGCCACCCAGCCAGGCTATGGACACCCCATGGTTATTCTTTCCTGGTCCTACTGGGAACTGGCAGTGCCCTTATAGACAGATAGTGGTGAGAGAGCAACGCTGTTCTTCTTCCTTATCTTCTTCTCATCGCTCAGTCTTTGGCCCTAAGCTGAAGTGATCCTGACGGCTTTCAGAGCTCAGGCTGCCAGGATCCAGCTAAGAGAGGGTGTACCCAACTAGACAGTTTAATTCAGCACCCATCACTAGAAGAACAGACCTCTGGCCAATTTGAAAGGTCCTTGATGTTTTATTAGCCATGACATCTGGCATCTACAGTGTCAATAAATTGAGACTGACCCCAGGATAAGGACAGACACAGAAACATGTGGTTTCTGTGTTTTCCTATAAAGCACCCAGGCCTTAGGTCATCTGGTCATTATACAAACTAACCACTTAGTATTTTGACCCTGTTTATGAATCTAAATCCAAGAACCAAACACTTCTGTGTCCAGTAAGGGACTCACCAGCTCTGCAGAAGGAGGAGAAGGACAGGCAAAGGTGTGGAGTAGGATTTGAGAAAAAGCAGAGGTCATCTCATCCCTGTTAAATCTAGGAAGTCACTTTCTCTGCTGGTCTCGGTGAAGGCAGGGGTCAGAGTCACTGGGACTGGCAGAGTGCAGTGCCTACTGCAAATACTGTCTCTGCATTCGGACATGGCCACCCTTCCTGCTTATGTCACCAGACTATATCTGCTGATAAGACAGCCTCAGACCCCACAGTGAATTCCTGCACTGTTTCCAGGGCAAAGCTAAGCCACCATGCACACACACACACATATTTAAGCCTCTGAATTATTATAGCCTTCATCATATGCTTAAGAGTAGTCATTCTCTTTCTTATGAATCTTGAGTATGGAGATCTAAAATGTCTAGATCCAACTAAAGAAGTTATTTTTTGAAAACTCCTTTTTTTGATGGTGGTGATGGTGGTACTGGAGTTTGAACTCAGGGCACCATGCCTGCTAGGCAGGTGCTCTACCACGTGAGTCATGTCTCCAGCCTGATTTTTTGAAAGCTCTAACATGAATTAAACTAGGAAAATAATTTTGAAAGACATATAACAGATATTGGTACATCAGTGCTCATCCATCTCATCCTTCCTAATTGAAGTGGCATTTATTGATATCCTCTCCCAACACAGGGCCCAGAATAATACAGTTAGTTCTTCCTAGATTACAGTTTAGCTGCTAAAGACCACAAGTCAGGTGGGAACTCCAGGGACAGATTGAGAAATATGGGACACATCTTCATGGTTTTGTACCCTGAGAGGAGTGAAGGAGAGAGGTTTGAGTGCAAGAAAAGGAGACCATGCTGGCCAGAACCAGGACTCTGAGGAGCTGGGAAGGGAGGCCCAGTCACAGGAGCCCCTTCAGGAGGAGACCAGCTCTGCAGAAGGAGGAGAAGGACTAGGCCAACTGGCTCTCAAAGGCAGTATCCCCAGGACTGAGGAGGGTCGCCCAGTGGGTGACATGGGTCTCTGAAAGCAAGAGAGACCAGTTGAGATTAGGGACACTGGAAAGTGGTCTGAAGCAAAGGACTGTAGCCAGTAGTGGCCTCACAGAAGTTCACTCCAGTGTTGCCTGATCTTCTGGATGTCTGTGTGCTCTGTCCTGACTATACAGTGTGGACCAGTTCCAATTGTTTAAAGGAAGACTGTACAGGAAAATTAACATGTATTGCATAAATTATGATCAAGGGCCTATAGAGTGACCAGTGAACTGGATTCCATAGTCCTTCCAAGTTCACTGCTAACATTCTAATACCCTCAAGACAAAATCATAGAAATCCTAAATAAAATGAATTCATAATTAAAAAGATAATAAACACAACCTAGTAGGCCATGCTTGGTGGCATGTGACTGATCCTCGGGAGATGGAGATTGGGAGGATCACAGTTCAAGGCCAGCCCCGGCCAAAAAAATTAGTGAGACCCCTTCTCAACCAATAATCATGGCCTACTGAGCCCTATTATTCCAGCCATGTAGGAGGCTTAGATAGCAGGATCACAATCTGAAGCTGGCCCCAGAAGAAATATTCAAGACCCTATCCAAAAGATAACTAAAGCGAAAAAGGGTTGCGGGTGTGACTCAAGTGCTAGAACACCTGCCAGCAGGCACAGGCCCTGAGTTCAAAGCCCAGTATTACAAAAAAAAAAAAAAACTGTTTAAATATAAATGCCAATAAATAATATTTCCTTCATGGGAGTTTTTTCAAGGTCTTTGAAATGTTTAGTTAGATAAACTTAGGAAATCTAGACTATGAAGTACAGTTTCTTAAATCTAAAACATAAGAAAATAAAAATCATCACTTAGGTGCTGCCCAATTGGAATTAAGTAAAAGAAATTCCAGATATGCTGAAGATATTAGGAATAAGGCAAAACAAATTTGGGATTCCAGGAAGCAGAAAAGCAACAATGTTTGCTTAAGTTTGCCTTTGATTTAGAAGTTTGGTTTATATTTGGAGCATGATAGCAGCTCTGTTGTTTTTCTTTTCTCTGGGACTGAAATGGAACTATATACTCTAAAAGAAATGGTTTAGCCAGGTGCTGGTGGTTCACGCCTACAATCCTAGCTATTTGGGAAGCTGGGATCAGGAGGATTACACACAGTTTAAGGCCAGCCCAGGCAAATAGTTCATGAGACCTCATCTCCAAAATAACCATAGCAAAATGGACTGGAAGTGTGGCTCAAGTGATAGAATGCCTGCTTTGCAAGCAGAAAGCCCTGAGTTCAAACCCCAGTCCCACCAAAAAGATAAAGAACAAGAAATGGCTAAGAGTCTGGAAGTATAATTTAGCATGTGTACTTGGGTTAAATCCTTAGAAGCCCCCTTCCCCACCTCCCAAAAACCCAGGCAAACCACTTGTGTTACTTTTCCTTTATTGTAGCAAAATACCTGAGACAGTCAAATTAATAAGATGGGTCAAAACCCCAGTACAGAAAGAGAGAAAAAAAGAGTAGAGAAAAGAAAAGGTTTATTTGGGCTCAGTTTCAGAGGTCCATGGTCCACTGGCCCAATGCTTTGGGATCTGTACAAGGTAATACATCATGGTGTGAGCACATTGCAGAGGTAGCACATGGCATGATTCACCTCATGCTGGGTACAAAAGAGAGAGGGGAAAAAAACACCCTGGGGTCCTGTTATCAGAAACTTTGAGGCTCTAGGAAGAAGGTCTCCACAAAAAAGGAGGCCTTTACCTAGCTCTTGGGTACCAAGTTTGTGGCATTGTTGCAAAAAAGAATTGTAGGACACATGGTAGAAGTAGAGACCACAAAGGTTTATTAGTAAAGGAAAGATAGTACACACCCAGAAATGGGTGCAGGAACATCTGATAACAGGTGCAATGAGTACCCTAACACCAGTTATTTATAGTGAAAAAGTAGGGTGGAAGGTTGATTTAAATTCTCCTTAGGATACGTGCTTCCCTTTGTTCTGGACACCTGGTACATTCAATCATTCTTGCTGATACACCATTTTATCAGTTGGGCCCAGAGATATCAAGGTGAGTCTGATTATTAAGTTTGTGCTATGACATAGATATCAGAGCGTCCCTTTAGACAACGAAGGGGGTCTGTCAATGCTCACTTTTAGGCAGGTGTCTTACTTTCAGATAATTTTTCCATTGAAAACACTTTTGTGATCAAAGGAGTTATCTTACCAATTTTTTTCCTCAGCCCAAGTGTCTTTCTTTTAATGTAAGTTCCCAGCGTGTGGTTATCATTTGGGCCAGTGGGCAAGGTCAGGGGGAAAGCGCTGCTCTTCTTCCCTTTTTTTCTTTTTACTAAATGTTGCAGCTTAGTGAGGGAGTGTAAAGAAAATAAGCCTGTGTTCTGAATCAAGCCATTCATTTATACAATGTTTATCTCTGAATTCCTGCCTCCTGTTTCCTATGCTTTCCCTGAACTGCCCTGCCTCAATCCCATAATCCCCTTCAATCCTCAGTGGGCCAGAACCTCTTACTGGGCTCAGCTTCTTAAAGTTTTCACCACTTCCTAGTGCTAAGCTGGGGACCAACCTTTAGCACATAGGCTTGTGAGGACATTCCAGATCCAAACTATCATACCACTTTAAATCCAAAATAGAAGAGACGTCTAATTTCTAGCTCCTGTAGTTTGGATGTTGACTGTCTTACAAAGGTCTGTGTGTTCAAGGCTTGGTCACCGTGTGGCTCTCTTGGTAGGTGGTGAAACCTTTGAGCGGTCAGGGCTTATGGAAGGTTGTTAGAGTTCGGATGTGAAGAATCCCCTCTGTGGTTCATGGTTTAAAGATCTATTGCCTTTGATGCGCTCTGGGAAAGTGATCAGATCCTGAGAGCTCTGACCTCATGAAAGATTCATAATAGAATGGCTTTGTGGGGAGGTGGGATCTAGTTGGAGGAAGTAGGGTGTGTGCCCTAGAAAGATGTACCTTGTCCCCAGCCCCTTCCTCTCTCCCCACTCTGCTGCCTGGCTGCCATGAGATGACCATCTCTTCTCTGCCACACGCTCCCTGCCATGTCTGGTCTCGCCCCAGGCCCACAGCAAGGGAGCCGGAAGACCATGGACTGGAACCTCTGAAACCCTGAGCCAAAATAAATCTTTCTCCTCTAAGTTGATGTTTTCTCAGGTATTTATGACAGCGATGAAAAGCCAGCTATCACAGAGGTCCTCTGGGGGCATGC